TACAAGCTGGTATGACGTAAAACTGCATTTAAACTTCGGAAATATTAACTTCTTTTTTTTTAGCGCTCCTGTGACCAACAGGAGCTCCGCTCAGGCATTGGACTATCGTCTTGAGAGGGGTTGGAATCGATTGCTACTTCTTTTCCCATACGTGGAAGAAAGTGATGGCAAGTAAGGAGAGATGAGTAGTCGTCTTGCAATCCCATGACTTCTCGTGGCGTCTCTGTCGAGAGGGATTCCACGTCAAGCACTCTTCCCGAAGCCTTTTTCACTATTTTTAACGGCGCCCTTCAACTCTTCTGCCCACTCGACGTCTGAGTTTGCCCCGACGTGGATTTCCGGGAGAAACTCTTAGAAACATCAGGAACGAAATTGGAGTGTGGGCGTGCAGACAGTTGGAGCTCGAACAACGCCAAACGATTTCGTTGTCGTAGCATTGATTGCAACCGATCACGAGACCGCTCGTGAACAAGGCTGCGTCGAGAGTGAAAAAAATGTTTGCTCGTCTTTTCTTTTCCTTTTCATCGCTAAGTTGTGTCGAGAGATTTTGCTATACTTTTTCTTTCTGCTCGAATCAACACTATGGAATCCATTTTGTGCTGTATGTAGAGTGCAGATCAAAATAAAAGAATATCTGTTTAAAATCTGCAGGAATCATTGTTAAACGGCTATTGATTCCGCATCCACCAATACAGACCTTCCCCCAGGTGCGAGTTCCATTTTTTTTGCGACGATCGAGTAGTTTTTTGGTAGCTATCAAAATATCCCATCATAACCTTAGCGCTACCAGCCAAGCCAGACGATCGCACGTCACACTTTCATCACCGTATAAAGCCACTTCTTCGATGAGTTGCTAGGAAATAAATTATGCATCTACATGCATGCTCGTGAACTGCAAGGATATGTGAATAAGTCCGTAATTGGCATCTGGAAGATATCTAAACTTGGAGGCAAGGAAACTTGTACGCCAGCAGGAGACATGCATTTGTTCTCACCCCCTCACTTTTACCATTACGACAATATTCTGCGGAACCGCAGCACAGCTAAGTGTCAATAATTTATATGGCTTCCTCCATGGTGATAAGGATGCCTCAGTAAAAAGAGAAAACCAGGAAAATCCCTAACATCGCACCATAGGGCGCGGTTGGACGATTTTCTCTCTCTGAGAAAATCGTCCAACCGCGCTCAAGAAAATAGAGTTAAGTTTCCTCTAAGCAGGTTTTGCCATGCTAAGAAATGATTCATATAAATAAGCTTGAATTTTTTCTTGCACAAGTTGTCAGTCAGAGTGATTTATATATTTTACCCTCCACTTTAAAAAAGGATGGTTGCAGGATACTTCAACTTAGGATACTTAGTACGAGGCTTCTCTCAACAAAATCTGAATGATTGGAAATTAAATTACATAAAGAAAATACGACTTACATTACACTCTCCCACCCGACATTAATGGCCTTCCTAGATCTCAGTGGACCATTGGACAGTGCTTTAAAAGATTCTAACATATTCAGTAATTAAAATTGCGATTTGGTAAATTTACTTATCAGAAAGGGGGTCACGAAAAAGAATTTTAAGCTCGGAAATAGAAGAAATGGGCTTACTTGCGGGAAGCTCCTTTCAAATACGAGGTATACTCAGGCAGCACTGCGACACAATCGACTTGGCGATTGGTAGTATACCAATCGGCCCGTTCGGCCCTACGCGATCCGGGTGTGGGCCACGATCGGGAAAGGAAATTCGAAAGGACTCTTCGATACTTCACTCAGCCCATCGCGACGAACTTCCTGCTCGTGTTTCGGTAAATGGAGAGTCGTTCGAACCTTGTAGATGTCCGAGAAAAAAAAGAGAACCATACCTTGGAGGAGGTATCCAACATCATTGTATTTAGCCAGTTATGGCTTTCATTCCCACAGTATGTTCAGAGAATTGTCATCCGTATCCCGTCAAAATGTCGAAAACACACGTGTCGACTGTCCGATTGTCGATTACCAACTATGTCGAATTCCTGAACGGCGAAGGAATGAAATGTTGAAAATCAAAATGTCGAAAGAGAGAAAAGTCGAAATGGACTTTTATTTATTCTGTCAATGAAGTCTTAAAAACTCGTCATGCCGAACACGGGAAAACTGCACTTGTTCCAGAAAGAAAGGCAAACTCATTGGCGGTTATAAATGTGATAACCTCTGACATGCAGCGTTCAAAACTGAACATTATGTACCACTGCATGCAAGTAATCACGCACTTCGCGGTCGGAGTAGAAAGAAACAATTTGATGAATACGTTTTTCCCTTGATTCTTCAGCTTTCGTGCGGGATATCCTGACAAGATAATATTCATCTCTCGCGCTTGAAAACATTCCTTTCAGCAATTTGCATTTGTGAGGAAGTGCGCTTGTTACTGATGTAATCAACTCCGCCAACGCTTACTGATGCAGAGAAATGATAAGTTGACAAAGCAGTATTCGCTGCCTCAAGGGAGCAGAGAAGAAAGAAATACTGTAATCTCCTCTCCTTGATTATTGATATATCAGGCCCCAAGGAACGGAAAATAATAACCGGATTTCGACATCTTGAGGATTCGACGTTTTTCCACATTTTGACGCCTTCGGTATTGTAACAATCATGTAATTATGCCCATTCGACCATTGTCCATTCGACATTGTGTGGCATTCGACGTTTTTGCATGTCGATATAAAATCTGACGTCATTGTGGCTTTCGACATTATGTTATAGAACCCATTCGACCTGCAGGGCTTAATTGCACGTGCCAGCATCGGGGCCTCCTAATTTTTTACGATTATTACACCCTGCTCCTCATCCTCGCACCGACATCTTCTTGGCTTGAATATGCCATCCAAGAAATTTATTAATTTGGGGGCGAAATGTTAGATTTTAAGTATACAATTGACTTCAAAAGGAAGTGTACATAAAAAAAATGTAAATTTCGATTTTTGTGATATAAGGTACATTTTAATGCCTTTCCCTCATGTTTTGGAATTTTGATTGCAAACTCGGCACACAAACCCAAATCGAGTCACCCTATACATCTACCAAATTCCATCATAATCGAGAGGCTACAATCAGATTGACAACTCACCAAAAATACAGATTTTATTTAAATGCCAACTGTATTTTTTTTTCAGATTCCCTTGCTCCTCTTCGGTCTTGAACAGATACTTCTCGTCCCAAACGGTGACCATACGAACTGACTGAGGTCAAGAAATGCCACGATGAGAGGTGGGAGGGGAATTTATAAATATTCCACCTGGTAAATGACCGTCGGGCAAGTAACCGTTCACCGAGGAGATTGTACGAGCCCTCAACTACCGGCGGTGATCTGTCCTATCAGGTATGGCGTATTTAATGACCTACGACTTTACGTATCATTCTTTTGTGTCAGGCTTTTTTTTTTAAATATACCATGTGGAACTCAACTTCATCAATAATGAGACAAATCCCCTTCTTGTCCAATTTTCTTCGGTATTTTCTCGGCTTCACTTTCATACCGATTTTATTCATTCAGAGTTCTGACGGTAAGACAGTACTGAGACAGTAATGAATTTGTGTATTTGCGCCATTTGCTGCACAAATTCCTTCGTTATCTTCTCCAACTGGCGGTCTCCTTAGTCTTCTTCTGGTCACTTTTCTTTGAGGTTTCATTTGCACCAAGTGGGCTTAGCTAGTACAGAAGGAAAGGCCGAATTAGTAAAAATAATTTAGGAAATGAACCAATTAATTCAAAAAGGAATCATGTTATCATAATGGTGATGGTACCTTAATATATGGTATGTAAGAAGCGATGTCGAGAATCGATAGCTCTTCCCAAGCCGGTGGGTTTCTTTGAGCCATGATGGAATGACTCCTTGAGAATACCGGAATAAAGTATTTAGTACATAGCTTGTGATGGAACCCATATCAGCAGGAAAGTTTGCTGTTGGAAGAAAATGTCTTACTTTCGGTAGTTTGAAGTGGAATCGGTTCATACTTGAATGTTATCTTATTCGATGCGGTGCGAAGCTTTCTTACAAAAATCTTGATTACAAGAATCCTGGTCCATCAGTTGTAACGAACGCTGCATTTATTAGTCGTTCTTCAATCGTGCCAGAATTTGCATTTCCTGGCTGCATTATTCTTTGAATTCTCCTTGTAAAACTTAATGTATTGCTATTATTGGAATTGTTGGTGAGTTGTTGCTCAAAACGACTATTATAGGTGAAGCTAGTAATGTCATGATCGGACTGCTACTCTGCGAAGTTATGTTCCTGTAGCCTTTCCCAGGCAACAACAATTTATAATATCATCGTATGATGAAACTTGCATTAGTCAATAACATGCATTGGCATTTCAGTACCGATCTGTGCAATTTTTTCTGATTCAAATCCACGGAATGTTTGTCGAAACAGAAAATTCTGGACATTTACGAAGATCAATGACGTTCCAAATAAGTGGAAAGTTGAAATCCAACAAAGCTATAATTCAATAGGGAATCTTCCCCAGGATCGACATTTGAATGTGACTACTGAAAAAATTTACTTTGAAAGGGTAAGAGTTAGAGAGGACAGAAGAATGAAAACGAGGAAAATGGCACACGTCTTGGGCATATCCAAGGGCAGTGTTGAACCCATAAAATGCGAAGCATACGCCTCATTAGAAGTTTCGAGCTCGTGCCTCAGCTGGCAAGGTCAAGAACTCAGCTGATTAGTAGCTACCCCCGACCTCGAAATTCGATGTTGATATTATTGTACTGCTTAAGGGGTTGCTACATGAAAAAATGTATGAACGACTCTGAAGTCAAATCTTCTATTGGAAGAAAATCCAAATCAGGTATTGTTTATTGGAAAAGTGGAAAATTTTGAAAATACACCATTGAATCGCTATATCTCTTCCTGGATCGGAGATGTCGTGTGCACAACAGGTGATAGTGTATTCTAGGATCTTACTATTCCTTCAAAGCCAATTTCACGCTCCTGGAAATGGAGGAATGTCACCAAATTTCAGGTATTCTCTCTATTGCTCTGCACCCTTAGATTCGATATCGGCTTGGAATCCTTCACATGCACTGTTCCCACTCGTTTAAAACAGACACACACTCGGTCTCCATTCTTCATGTTCCATCTTCAAATTTTCTCTGAATTTTTTATTTAAATCCGAAGAGAGACACAAACCGGGATAAGAGTCCTTTCTCTCGATCTTGGCGTTTGCGCTCTTTCTCACGAAGAACTTCTTCAACCTTTTTCTTGGCTTTCTCATATGTATCAATGTGTTCAGTCCTCATCTGGCCGCAAAATATTTTAAGCGTCTCTTGATCTTTCTCCAGGAGAATGCAGATGAATTGACGAATGTAGGGTAAGTATGGTTTCATTGCTCTCGACTTGTGTTCTTCGAACGTTTCATGCAACTCCTTTGCCAATTTCATTTCTTCTTCGAATTCCTGTGTCGTGCGACGATTTCTCCCAGACTTTTCTACATTAAAAAAGCATATAACATACTCCCAAGGGCAAGATAATCGTGCCAATTGTGACAATATTTTGCAGCAAAAACTGGTAGAAAAGAAAAAAAAAACAGAAAAAAGTAAGAGGTTGGGCGAAAATACGAAGGCTCTATTCGGAAGCATAATCAGTTGAAATTATTTTTTAGCTGTATAGAAAGAGCTCACTCATAGCACAGTTACAAAACAACTTAATGGTATGTCCTTCCCGAATGAAGAGTTTGCATGATATATCAATACGAGGAACTGGTTTCAACTTGGAAAACAAAATTTTGGGGGAATATTAAGGTGCTCTTTTTCTGCAGGGGAAATCGGGCCACCGCTCTTGGAACTCAATGTTGTTTAAAGTTCTATTTCATCACTTTTGCCAATTATACCACAATTTAGAGCTTCTCCAACTCCATCCAAACATTCGTACATGAATATACTCCTCCTGCATCTTCATCTGTTTGAACTGGCCCGATGTTTCATGCGTACGACAATGTCCACATTTAGAACGTTGTAGTTATTTCGTCTCTCTGATTGGAAAACTATGATTAGACAACTATAGACTACACAGGCTCCCGAAACTTTTCTAAATCAAAAATGAAAGTGATTCTTTGCGTATCGCTTAGAATAATTCATAACTCTTCGAAAATCTCTTAGATATCATAGAGGTCCTTACTTAAAACAAACATTTTAAGCATACCATATTCAAGTATACCGTTTTTTTAGCTTGCTTCCTAGACGCATAGTCATAATAATTTATATGAAAAGTAAAATCCTCTAAGTTCCAATGCAATATGCAAGCCAAAAGTCGGTCTTGCACAGGAGCGAAGTAAAATGGAGGATGTTAATCATATCTTCATCTACTTATGTCGTCATCTGATAATTGGCGTTGAAACCAAGAAGAAGTAGGGTATCGAAAAGCTTATCTGCTTGGGAGAGGACATGCCATGGTCTTACCTTGTATGGAGTATTCCAGTTTCCGTAGTGTTGCCTCGATATCTTGCAATTTCTTTAGATTTTCCTTGGTCAATGTGAGACTCACAGGCGTCAAGCCTTCATCCAAGTACTCACACATTTTGTGCAGCTCTTCTTTCTGCGTCTTCCACGCGTACTTCTCTTGCTGGTCATCCTTGTCTTTGGTGAGTATTCCTTGAAGATTGACATAATACCCAAACTGTGATGGAATACCGGCTTTCCTGAGTGTCTTCATTACTGGATGTTCTTTTTTTGCCTTCATATCACAATGAGTAACAACAATATGAAAGTTATTCTCCACATCCTTTCCGAAAATGGAGGTGACTTTGGCGTAAATGTTCTCATTATTAGCTGAAAGACGTTGTTCTGACGATGGGACAACGAATGCAACTAGATGAAGTCGATCGAGTCCAAATTCTTTGCTCGTAAACAATTTCTGTACCTTCAACCAATTTATCTCTTCCTCTTCTTTGCCTACAGTGTCCCCAAAACCAGGAGTATCCACAATTGTTAGGCTGTATCTGAATCGACACCCATGAAGACATTGAATAGTGTAAGCTGTCACATTCTTGGTTTGACTTTGTGCTTGATCGTCATCATTTGGTGAAGAAGCAATAATGAATCTGAAAGCATCATCGTAATCGACGCCGACAAAGTAGTTGAAGAGGGCATTGATGAATGTAGTCTTCCCTGCAAATTATTACACGAATAGCATCAAGCACTCTGATTTATGAGTTATTATTAATTTTAACTTGACTTTTTTGCATTTTGAAAGGATGTATTAATGTAATGCTCACCGGCTCCTGTTCGACCAATGACGAGGATATATCGAGTGGACGCATATAAAGCCTTATGATCGCTTCCAATGACACGTTTCTCCAGGCCTTCTTCCACAGGAATTACGTTCATTTTCACTTCATAAATAGCAACTTTGCCATCCAATTCACGAAGCCTGGAATTCGCTTTGAGCCACTCAAGTTGTCGTCCATCATTTTCCTGTGAAGCGATGCCTGGTTTTAATTATGAAAATTGACCACCTGAGAAATTATGTACGGACTTCATTGCATCACTGATTATAATGTAGGGAATCCAGGTGACTATGATTCTGCAATTTCAATTACTGTAAAATCCTTTCTCCTAGAATTATAGAAAGCTTTGGTAGCTTGAGGAATGTCCATAGTTTCCTCACATTTTGCAAATTATATCAAATGAACTGTGGTATTGGGACATATTTGGAATTGGAAATTGCTATTTCATCGATGATATTATTACCTATGACTTCACCTTCATTTCCAGGCCTAGCTTTAATTCTGCAATTACATTCGAAACAATGATATTTTACATCACATTCATATATATTTTCTTAGGGATTTTACTCGCGAGCATTACACCGCAATTAATTTTTAACAAGACACAAACTGCTGCATTGCTCTCAATTGCCATAAGATCCCCATAACCAAAATGCAAAAGAAATATCGAAGGAAAGTATTTGACTCAATAAATATCACCCAACCTACGACATTAGGCTTTTAAAAACCGCTTAAAACACACTTTGAGCTGGTATCTTTAAAAAATTACTTCCGTTAATTTTGTGAACATATAAATGTAGCAACGGAATGTCGAATGAATGATTTATGTTTTACTTAAGGTGTCAACAACGTTCCACGAACATCACCGGGAACGTTCCATGGCTGTTCAAGTATCCGAAATTTAGAGCAATCAAAAACAATTTAAATATTCGTATCCTGATCGTTCATGTAGGACAAAGATTGAACATTTCACAACGGCATCAAGGGATTGCATTTGTCTTGTAACGTATTCCAGCCTATGACCGCACAACGTCCAGTGTATCAGTAGAGAGTCAAGGCGGGGAGGAAGCTGAAGGAGGTGAACTATAACATCCATTAAAACGTGGAGATGCATGAATATGGAGGTGAACCCAGTGTTTGGGGTCAACCAACCAGTGGAAGGGCTCCTTACAGTTTAAATGGAGGATCTTTCCTTCTCGAATGTGCTACCCAATCACTGTACAAGGAGCCACAACATCATTATCCGAATGGGTATCAAAGTCCCTCCAATAAAGTCTATTCGCCAAAACCAATCCTCTAATCCCGCAAGATTTCAGCTGAAGATCCCTCCCTAGATCCCTCACTCAGAGGTAACTGAAGAGCTCGAACTCGAACTCGAAGAACTCGAGTTAGTACCGATTTGACCGGGGTACTTGGGCCCTTTTAGATCGTGGGTGCTCTGAAACTGGTCGCCTTTCTCTCTAAAAAAAAACATACAGAGGAACAACGTTAAAGTTAGAGGATCTTTTCGCTTCGATGGTCGTGAGTTTTCCCCAGAACTTGCAAGGTTTTATCTGGAAGTGAAGATCAGCCCATTGTCAAAGCTCTGTAAAGGGGTTGGACCGGTTGTTTGGCTAACATTTCTATTGTCTTTTTTATTATTAGTTTTTTTAATTGGAAATACATTTTTTGTTTTCTTGAATTACGCCTTAGTTACTCCCACTCGAATTAGAATTGGCACGGACCTGATTTCCTGGAAGGGAATTCATTGTAGTGGAATCGGGGCGCGTCAAGGTAATGTTTTTATTTTAACTTAATTAATAGTTTATATTTTCATAAATCGAACCTACTGCGTCCCGTGCCCGTTACAGTCCCAAGGAAATCTGTACTCCCATCTTAGGCAATGGTCTTAGGCAATCCTATAACCAATTATATCGTATCAGCCCAGGTACAGATGTGCCATTGCAATGGCTACTATCCCAATGGGATTATCCTCTTCGCCGCATTCTAATCATCCAACTTCAAAAATAATTACTGTCATGCGTTCGACATAGGCTTTTATGAAAAGTCCCAAACAACTAGAGGTATCAGAGGCGTCAGCGTCGCATGGAGATGGGAGGAGAATTTGAAGTGTTGGATGCCAGATGTGGCATTTAGCGCGTACGCTCAGCAACCCTGCTTGTACAGCCGCAAGCAGCTCCACTCTCCTACTCTAAGCTATGCATGCGTCAACTGCAATGGTTTGAAGGGAAGTGGATGTTGAAGTCGTAGACTGGCACCCGACCCAGGCAGAAAGCTGCACAAGCGCTTTGAGTCGTGTTGTCAAACAAATTGCACGACATGGGTGGAGAGTTGCCAGAAGCATATTAACATATGAATATGAGCAAGCAGTTCCCAAGCATTCAGAGTTAGAACATTATTGCACTGATACATATAATTAGCGATTAGGTTTCCATTTCGGGCAAACTCACAATATTCGCGGCATCAATTCAAAATAATGATTAATTGTCGTCATTATTAAAGTTCATTACCTCACTTAAAATTTGCACCACCATCGTTCGCAGCTTCTCAATAGTTGAACTTCCAGGATTTTAGTTATTTTTTACTTTTAATTCATATGATCTGTTAAAAGGGATCTTTGCAAACCTAACGACTTAAATGTTTATAACAAAAATGATAATCACCTGCATCTCTGTGGTGGATTCGCTTAGTGCTTATTCATTTAAATAAGAATTGGATTTCTTCGTCTGACGAAGATCGTGATATTTATCTATCTGCAATGTAATATGTAGACATGATAAAACAAATTTTCAAAGGTTTTACCTTTCTTCAAGTTCAACCCAACCTCACCCCCCCCCCACCTTCTCTACGGAACTCACTAACGTTAGGCTTAGTCCTAATCGACTTACAACCTTCGGGTCAGGCCGATGCCTACCTATTTTCGATTTAAAAAATCAATTACTCCACCTACAGACCAATTAGGCCTATGAGGATTAATCCCTGGTCTTCGAGACACCTTGTTGAGGACGAGTTACGTTAAGTTAATCACAGGCCTATTCAGTGTCTTATGGCCCATTTAACAGAGAACGTGTAACATTAGACGGAATGTAAGTCTTTTTCGAGTTTCAAAAACAATTATACTGAAGGTCACACTAATAAGAGCATGTTTACCAAGTTTCATTTAGAATGCTTAACTTATTTGTCACCTATGCAGCAATAATGGTATTTCGTCGCGTGTGTGTATGCTTTGCAATTATTTCTTATGCATTCTCAGGATAATCTGCGAAATTTTTGATCGGCCACTGCTAAAGCACGTAATTCCAGACGTCTAAGTCTGAGACGTAAAATAATATTAATATCATGCATAACAATAATGAGAATATAGAATAATTCCTGAATATTGAAAAGACTCACAGCATTCGGCGGCCAGGTTATGTCCATGAAGTCTGAATATACGCCACTCTCTGAGCTTGGACGGCTGAAATAGGAAAGGTTACAGATCTAGTTATGAGAAACTTTACCCGCATGGAAATGTACAGGGTGTACTACTTAAATTACTTCTTTAAATTTTGAATATCTTAGTTCTTTTTCAATGCATAACAATGAAATATGGCAAATTTGATTGGCAATTCTTTAAGAAGTTATAGGATATGGCTAACTCTTGTGCTTTTTTTCATCTATGGGTGATATTTATTGAATCCAATACTTTCCTTCGATATTTCTTTTGCATCTTGGTTAGATGGAGCAAATGGTGCACAGCTCTCGAGCAATATCACGATGGAGTTATGACCCACGCCACGGCTCATGGAAGGCGTTCTTAAAGCGACTCTACCTCTTGGCGATCGATTTTGCTTTCTGATACCTACAATTGTTTTTGAAAAGAGTACGATAGAGCCATGATAGCAGTGATCGCAGGCAAAAGACAAACTAAAAGTGTCTGACAAGAAAAGCGAAAATTTGAGATAGAAAACTCGGAATGCTGATGTTGCTGATGCAGGCCGCGATTCGAATAAGTGCAAACAAAGGCACTTCATGAAATCGACCATTATTTAACTTGCATTAGGAAAGTGAAAGTCAGCCATAGCTTAGATAAATTCCTAAAGAATTGCCAATCGAATGAGCAGTAGTTTGGGGCTTTGCGTCGAACAATATCTGTGAGTAGAACAAAAGTGAGGGTTCTATCCCAACGAAAGAGGCATAATTTGTCATATAATTTGCCTGAAAATTGAAAATAAATAAATAATTCACATATTCCTCTAAGCCTCCTCAAGCTAGTAGTGAGTACTGGAACTCTGGTATGCAATGGTTTTCAAATATTAAAATGATTAGCTATTTATATTTAAAACATAGAAATTAAGAAACATTGAGAAAACCCAACTTTCTTGCAGACCAAGCTCTAAAAACTTTAAAGGAACTAACTTTTTCTGATGAGAAGACTTTATTCACTTTAATGACATCATTAGCTATGTACTGTTATTTTTCCCACACCTCGAACATATAGCATACAGAGACTTTCGTGCACCTGCAGCTATTCTATTGTTGGTAAATACTAATCTCACGGTAGTCCCATATTAAAGTACTTGGCCCTCGTGAAAAATACATTTGGAATGTTACGATTATTAAAATAAAATAAAAATATATTATCCTTTCTGTATGTCATAGATGAAAGGTCAGATCCTTTGACGTTCGATTTCATCAAGACTCCAAGATCCATACAGCATTTCAAAGGGCATGAATACCCCTTCAACATGAACACATTATCATCTCTCTAAGTTGATTCGGATAAAATTTATAGACACTTGAGGGCCCTGACCAAAAAATACTTAGTTCCTCGAAATTTCAAATCGCTGCATCTCAGGAAGTACACGATCTAAAGAGCTCAAATTCGGCATTGAATAGTTTTTCAATTGCCCAATATGATATATTCAAATTCCTTGTAAATCTGAAGGGGTGAGGTAAACGTTGCGCTCATTTGACATGAAAAGTCATAAGCTCCATGGGATTTTAAGACATTGGATGAACTTTCAGAAAAAAAAACGCGAGCTATGGTTGCACGATACTAATGACCTGCATGTAATTCTAATTCAGAGTTCGCCAAAACACTACAAAAAGACTGGAACCAAAAATGAAAATGAGACGTAGCCTAAAATGATCAACAATAATTTATTTGATATGAGACAAATGAGTCTGATATGAAATAAAATTAGGGCTACCCTTCTCCCATAACCTATTCGTTTTGAAATTTCTCAGTTGTTAAAGAGTTCAATGTGCAACCATGAACCACTCTGGTTCCGGGTGCATATACTTCGTGTTCCAAAATATTGGGTTGGAAAGAAAGTCTTGCAACGCTGCGCAAATTTGTCAAAATTTTATAACTTTATTGAAATGCAATTTCAGTCTATAATGTAATGACCATTGTTGTCTATGACATGTTCCCAACGCACGGGTAACTGCTCGATGCCCTTTGCCCAGAACTCTGGTGATTGCGAGGCGAAGAAACGGCCGACATCATTTTCGACCTGTGCTCGATCGTCGAAGGCCTTGTCCCGCAGGTGATTCTCGAGGGCCCAGAACAAGTGATAGTCGGAAGGGGCCAAGTCCGGAGAATACCCTGGATGGGGGAAAATTTCCCAGCCCAGTTCCGAAATCGTCTGGCGAGTCATCTTCGCAACATTTGGACGAGCATTGTCATGCAGAAGGAGAACTTTGTCGCATTTAGGACGCTCTTTTTGAATGACGCCAGCCAACTTCTGAAGTCGAGCAGCGTATTAGACGGCAGTCACGGTGGTACCGGTTGGCAGGAGCTCATATAGTTCCGAAATCGTCTGGCGAGTCATCTTCGCAACATGTGGACGAGCGTTGTCATGCAGAAGGAGAACTTTGTCGCATTTAGGACGCTCTTGTTGAATGACGCCAGTCAACTTCTGAAGTTGAGCAGCGTAGACGACGGCAGTCACGGTGGTACCGGTTGGCAGGTGCTCATAGTACAATATTCCTTCTGAATCCCACCGACAGCAGAGAAGAACCTTCTCGTGGAACGCTGGTTTCGGCTCATGTGGCGACAATTCTCCTCGTGGAAGCCACTGACTCTTGCGAGTATGGTTGACGTAGAGGACCCAGCTCTTATCTCCAGTAACGATTTCCTTCAGAAGGGCCGTTCTGTGCGGACGAAGGAGCAGTGATTTGCAGACACTGACACGGCTTGCTTTGTCAGAGTCGCTGAACTGATGAGGGACCCATGTCGAGTAAACCATCCGATAGCCGAGGTCGTTCAGATGGTTGCCGATGGCCATATGGGTGACTCCAAGTGTAGTCGCCGATTCGCGAGTGGTGGCGTTCGGCTTCGCGTTGAGGGCGTTCCGCAGGGCTTCGTCATCGACTGTCGATGGACGTCCTGAGCGTGGTCGATCTCCGAAGGTCGTGTCGCCAGATTCCAAGCGTTTCAACCATCGAGACACCGTGGAATAGTGGACGACGTTG